AGCTGTTCGCAGAAAATATTGAAGATATATCCTTGTTTCAGACCTGTGCATCCCAGTAGTCTCGGACACTTGGCAAATGCACCAGTTACATGTACATACAGATTCCCAGATACTTTCTTACATCAATCAGCTGGAGTCACCTGTGTTGGCTTACCAGCGTCGACCAGTAGGCTGTAAGGCTCAGCAATGAATTCTGTCTGTTCGTCCGTAAAGAAATAACGAAACGAAAACTGTTATGGTGTTTCCATTGTCCCTTATTTTGGAAGGCAGGGCTGAGTTTTTTTCGATTTTTTGTTTGTGATGCGGGGATGAAGAATGCTTTTTCTTTCCGCTCCACACTTGGTCCTGTCCCGGCGCCGGAGCTTGGAGCGTTTGGAGCAGCATCTGAAATTTCTCCATCGCTGCAGCTGGCCGAACCTTCTTACCATCAGGTACCAAATCTGAATCATCCCAGCCCTCGTTGTCGTCGAAAAATAAAATGTTTTTTTTTCCTTTTTTTGTGATGGAGTGTGTAACAAATATCAGTACATACGACGCTGGTTTTGCCTATAAGCTAAGTTCTACTTGCCGGAAATTATGATTCTTAAATGCATTGCGATGTGTTTCCCCCGATCCGGGCATTTTTAGCGTGATAATAAAAGTCTGCACACGCTACTTCTCCAAAAATCATTTTTTTTAAAAAACGGGTCATATTAGGCGGCCAATCAACAGAGCAAAGTATCCTCCTTAGACGAAATATGCATCATATCTGGCAAAAAGCTTGCTTGAGGGACTAAAACCTTGGTTTCCACAAACGTGCAGGTACACGTGTGCCTAACTAAAAACAAAGATTGTAAGTTTTATTAATTTATTCTCTTATCTATTTTAACTCAACAACTTAACAAACGCAGCAGCGAGAAACACGTGTAATTCCCAAATTATGATGCAAATTGGCACGCAAATAAAATACGACTTCAACCAAGACCACGGATGCATGGCAGCATCTAAGGGTCGCTGATTGCGCTAGACCGCTCGCGGTATGTATCTGATTTGTTACACCATGCATTCGCGCACTGTCTAAGAGAATATGTAATAATGTTTCCGTCTCTTTGTTTTCATTACATATGATACACCTTGCACTGTAAGGCTAATTATTTACTTCTGATTTTACCTAGAACGTTCATGTATACTTCATTGCTCAAACATCTTTGCGGAATGTATGTTTTTTTTATATGCCACCTTTGGTGCTGCACAGCGCAGCCAAAGTTGGCGGCTTATAGAGCCTTAATTAAACCTATAATCGAATACGCAGATGCATGGGATATTTATACAAAGTCGTCTTCCCAAGTTCTCCAGAAAGTGCAAAAAACAAAAAACAAAAGCAATATAGTCCGCGTACAGACGCTACAGTTTTGTGTCTTCAATATCCTAATTATGTACCTTCTGAAAATTGCATGATCTAGCGCCAAGATGATAGTTGAATCGTCTAATTATTTTTAATAAAGTTTGTGTAAACTGGCGACTGCGTCTGACCAATTCGTCAGACGCAGTCTCCAGGGCGCTAGATCATGATATATGTTTGACTAAATCTCGAGACTGGGGGAAAAAATGACAACAGATCACGAAGTCTCAAACACAGACTTCGAGTTGTGTGGTCCTTTTTCACCCTAGTCTTGGGGTTTTGCCTAAAATGTTACACCTTCAGCAGCTTCTTTGCGCCCTATCTTTTTGTATACACTATTCACTTGAATTAATCGGTATTTAATTATCGGCACTTCAAATTTATAGGCATTTAACAAAGCCATGCTTAAAAGAAACAAACACAATTTGACAATCATTGAGCCACTAAGTAGAACATCATATTCAAAGCATCCTTATTTCCAAACACTATAAGCCAGTGGAACCATCTATCTAATTGTTATCAGTTCACAATCACTAACAATTTTTAACGGCGCGGTACTTAAGCACTTCTTTGTCAAAAAGTTGTCTGCACTACAATATTTTTTTATTATTTATTATTTTATTTTTGTGTTGTGTGGCGTTTCCTGCTTTGGATGCACCTCCTTCTATGATGTTTTTACAGAATGCTGGAAGTATAAAAGAATAATATAATAAAATTGATCAAATTTCGTAAAACCCACTGTCATATAATCAGGCGTTCACTATTGCCACATCGACGTATGCTTTCTTTTATGTACTGCAAGATCCAGAATCGAATAGAACCACTTGATTGTGCGGATAGCCCCATTTACCTACGAATCCGCGTTTAAAACGGTCATTTTAAAAGGAAAGTAATGTTGAAGGCTAGACCAGTTCGTACTCTCACTATAAAACAAAGTACCCAAAAGGGGACATATATCTTCCTATATCCTGTCTGTTTCACTATCTTTCACAATGTCTGTACATCAGTTTTTGTCCAAGTGCCCTGAATATCTCATTTTCTTTAGTGCCGTACTTTAAAAAACTTTCATGGACTTTTGCTCTGGTTTTTCAATTTTTCTTGTAATGTCCTTTTGGCCAGGATTGTATGTAAATAAATAAATAAAAACATAAATAAATACCGTACCAATAAAGTGAAAAGAGAACCAAAAGGAGGTCCTAACCTTCAAAGTGGGACCATTATTCTGGTAATATTTTAGAGCGCAGCTCTTAGGGGCCCGTTTCCGGCTTGAGCGGCGTCGGCGTCGGCATCGCCGTCGGCGTCGCGTCGGCGTCGGCGTCGGCGTCGGCGTAACCGCGAGGTCACGTGACCCCCTCAGGTCACGTGACCCCCTCAGGTCACGTGTCCCCCCTCAGGTCACGTGTCCCCCCCTCAGGTCACTGGACCCGCCTCAGATCACGTAACACCCTGAGGCCACGTGACCCCACTGAGGCCACGTGACCCCCCGAGGTCACGTGACCCCCTCAGGTCACGTGACCCCCCTCAGGTCACGTGACCCCCCTCAGGTCACGTGACCCCCCTCAGGTCACGTGTCCCCCCTCAGGTCACTTGACCCGCCTCAGATCACGTAACCCCCTGAGGCCACGTGACCCCCTCAGGCCACGTGACCCCACTGAGGCCACGTGACCCCACTGAGGCCATGTGACCCCCCTGAGGTCACGTGACCCCCTTCGGGACACGTGACCCCCGAGTTCACGTGACCCCCCTGAAGTCACGCGACCCCCGAGGTCACGTGACCCCCCTGAAGTCACGCGGCCCCCGAGGTCACGTGACCTCAAGGAGTCACCTATCCCTCAGTACGCTTCCATCTTCCTTCTCAAGAGCTGCGCTCTAACCGGCGTTACAGTGAATTGTATTTTTCATCGGTATAGCCATATCAGTAAATGTACGCGTGCATATTTATAACGAGTGAATTGCACATTTGCTGCATGCTTGTTCGTCAGCCAAATACTGAAGCTTTTGATGCTCAAAAATATACTTTATATTATGTATTTAAAAATGTTCTCAGAAAAGAATTGGTTTATGGGAATGTCTAGCTGAACTGGCTATACTCCGTTTCACCTTCCGTCCGAGCACAGCGGACGCTAGGAGCCATCCCAGCCAATGCGGCGTTGAGGGAGTGTCAAGCGACCTTGAGCTCCCTGTGTCGCCCCGCCCCACCGGCAGGTCACGCGACCTTCTCCCGGCGCTGGATCGGCCGGGATGGCTCGTGGCGTCCACTGCGCTCGGACTGAAGGTGAAACGGAGTATAGCTAAGGGGATGAAACTAAAATAATGAAAAATATATGTGATTCTCGATCGGTACTTCCTGGGTGTAGGCACAGCAGATATTGCCACCAATCCGATATAAATTAATTGGATCCGTGGATCACGTGGGGGATATCACCAAAAAGCCAATTGGGAACTTTACTTAGAAAAAACTGGGCCACACCAAGAAACAAACCAGGAAACACCGACAGAGAGAAAGGAACCCGGAGATCCCAACACCAGTCCAACCCCTCAACGGGGCACAAAAGGGCGACACCAGTGGGTCAACGATGGGCAAAGGGCAACAGGTGCGCAAAAAAGCCCCAGACGTAGTGATTTTCGCTTTTCCCCTCCTCCCAAGAAGGAAATCCAATGAAAGGGTGGTCGGGCTTGTGAATTAACATACGAAGTAGTGCTCATCCTAAAGTATATATATTAAAGTTATTTTGTTAAAATCTATCGTGGAACGCCAAACTTCACCACGAACATAACGAGTGATTGTGCCGTTCCTACTAGTCCAATGCCACTGTGGCCATCGACTCTCAAAATCTTTAAATAATTTTCGATGTCTTCTTTCCTCAACGACACTTTACCTGCACATAAGACGTCGCTAATATGAAATGTAGCTCATCATTAACTCTGTGATACGACTAAGAATAAGAGCGATTATTAAAATAAAACCATCCTTTAGCCGGAATGAAATTTATCGCACCAGGCATGAGGTTTTAATGTTTCTAAACATGATGTGCAGTTCTCAAACTCGTCTAGTTTTTCTAGAAAATGTTTTCTGGTGTTCTCCTACTTCAAAATTACAGTATTTATTGTCTTATCACTGCACCCTCCCCGCGCGCTCTGCTGGAAACGCCAACAAAAAAGGCGGTTAGTGCTATCGCTAGTTACGCTCAATAAACCAGCTACTCAGCTGTAGCTCTTGAAATTATTGGTTTTCTGCGAGCTTTGCCGAGAAGTCGGGACATGGGCCTTTTTTGTAGGACATCTCGAGGCTACTCTACATGCATATGTAAGTGTAGTTGCGCATTGACAAAAAAAAAAAAAAAAAAAAAAAAAAAACGCAATCATTTACAAAATTGCTTTATATTTGGGCTGTGGAAGGTAGATAATATCTGAGCCAGATTTCGGGCGTGTGGAAGGTTGTACTATATGCTTCTGATCAAAAGAGATGATAACTTTTTATTTCAAAGAAACACATGTAAACTTCCCGCAAGCCGCACGCTTCCATAAATTCCGGTTCACAGATTTGCGTCGGTTGTGTCCTCAGAAACCACAACTTTCGCAACGACCGGGACACCAAAACTGCCGGGACAACCGGTTCTGATGACTGCGTCACAAAACTACATCTTTAATTGTTGCCACATTGTGTCCAGCGCACTCTTGTCCCGGTGACTTTGCCTTTGCTGTCGTTTCGATCGCTCTGAAGATCACCACCGAAGCCGCCTGAATCACGATTCACACGCCGCCAGAAACATCAACGGCCGAGCCAGTCATAAAGCTGCTTCGGGAGCTGCAGAGAAACTTAACGGCTTCGGCCACCTCTTCTGGAAGACCGGCCCTTCCTAGGGGAATGCGGGCCGAGACCTGGGACAGAAACTCTGAAGTGTTGCACGAGGAGGACAATGGCGTTGTAATAAGACTGGGTAGAACGACGTTGACACGAACGCCGTGGGAAGCCAGCTCCTTCGCTGCCACTTTGGTAAGCGCCACGATTCCTGCCTTGGAGGCCGAGTACGCGCACTCGCCATTGTGGATTATTTTTGCCATCATGCTTGACATGTTCACGATGGCGCCGTCGGTAACTTTGTCGGCAATCATGGCTCGACCAGCCGCTTGGGTCACCAGGAAGCTCCCCTAAAAATATAGAGAATCTGTGATTTAACCTGAGTAAATTACCAATTAAAGAAGTTGCAATGAAATTCTGGAACATTATACATCCAACATGCGAAACAACCGCAGTGACCTTCGAATGCGATTAAGCGTGGTCTTTCATAGTTCCCACTCCCATCTTAGTACAAAATTTTTTTATTTTTTTTTTGTTTTATCGGGCTTTAAGAGAAACAGTTGTAACTTGGATTAAAACTTTGGATTGGGCTAGTTGGTGCACCGTGATCTAGAGGACTTAAAGGGGCACTGACACATCAAAATCATATTTTTTTATTCTTTTCTAAAACGATTGAAAACGATGCCGGGACATTACCCCAAAAATTCGAAGCTTGGGATTTCGGGCATTTGTGAAGGAAAAAAACAATTTCCAAATGCCGAATTTGAAATTCTCGCGTGATCTGCACCGGTGCGTTGACGTCAAATATTGCGGAGTCCTGGGAGTCCACTTTCTTTAACAACTCCGTGCTGCTGCCATCGCGACCCAAAGCGAGGAGGAAAGGAGCGAGCGCCGGCGGACCGGTTTTTAGAGGTGCCGCCTGTTTTCTGTGGGAGGATACAAATTCAGGAGGCGGTGCAACAACAGACTCCGATTTTTGGCATTTCAAGAAGAAGGGTCCTAGTGCGTTTGCAATGGACCTTTTTCCAGTAAGCGTCTGCGCGCGCGCACACCCTTTTCCCTTGACCTTTACCGCCCTTTCGCCATTCTTGGGGGGCACTGTTTTCATGCGACACTAATCTGTTCCTATGGGAGAAGGCGAGTCCGGTTGCCCTCCATTTGTAGTAGGCGGCGAAACCGTCATGAGGCACTCCTTACTGGAAAAAGCTCCATTGCGTTTGAAAACATGTTTTACGATTACCGTTATTAAATGTTATAGAAATGTCACCTTCAAAGCTTCCAAATGTCATGTTTCTTGACGTCACAAATCAAAAGAAGCAAGGGGGCGAAAAGCGGGAGAGGAAAACGCCAAAAATAAAAAGGCGCGCGCGCGTTCGGAAAATCTGTTTTTTTTTTTTTGCGATGCGTTGTTTTTTTGCGTGTCTATGACTACAACGTGCATCGTTTTAGACAATAAAAAAAATACAACCCTTGGGGTGTCAGTGCCCCTTTAAGAGCGCAAAAAAACATGGACGTTGTTGAAAGTTAGCGCCAGTCGATGTAGTATTTGTCTGTTCTTCGTCCGAGTTTTTTGCGTGTTTAAATCCTCTAGGTTATAACTTGTTCTTACCATCCCCACTTAACTTTCACAAATACGTCGCAGGAATAATTGCGTATTGTTTAGAAGCACCGGTTTGGCAGACGTATTGTCACGAATAAACAGGCTGGGAAACAAAGAATAACTGGGGACACTGAAACGTTTAATGGGGGCGAACTTGTGCCCAAAAATTAAAAGGAAACGAAAGATAACAGCAGAGCGTCGCGGGCGTCGAGGTCGGCGAAAGAGCAGAGTCGAACGCTGGGGCGAAACTGACTCTGGCTCGCTACGCGAAGTCCCTTATGTGCATGCGTAAGCTTCTGGAGTAATCGGCGTAGAATGTTCGACGCGTAGAACATTCGAACCTCGAACCTTTAAAATTAACCGAGGTTGACTTAATTCTAAGAGATAACACCTGTAAGTTCACTCGCCTGCAGAACACTAACACCGCCAATCATGGAGAACACTATATCAATTCTAGCGAATGGCGAAGCTATAAAAACGACCGTATCTAAAAAAAAAAAAACAGACACAAAAAAAAAAAACACACAAGAGACCAGGGTCAATGAGCCTGCAGTCTTATTTGGTTATTGAATTGGTTAATATTCTTACCGGCAGCCTTAAGGCCCATGTGGATAATTTTATAAAAGCAGGAAATGATTTTCAGAAGAACTACAATCTCAAGATTCTGTCCATTCATGCGTGCATTTACCGCTCAGTATAGTGAGGAAATTGATCTCACGTGACTCGATATCACGTGACTTCAATTTACTAAGTAAATGCACGGAAGAGAGGTTTCGAATTTGGGACTGTAGTTCCTCTAAAGATCATTTCACGATAAAAAAGAAAATGGGCATCGGCCCTGCACACCGATTTAGTCTCCACGCCAAATTTATCGGGGAGGTTGACGTCGCCTGACCTAAGCAACCTTTTGAGTTTTCCGTATGAATTAGTCGAGATAATAAATGTTATGTGAGCCGACGTCACGTGACCTTCACAGAATTTTAGTGTCTATACTAAACTTAACGGAAAAAGTGACATTCCCGGATTTAACACCATTTCAGTTTTTGCGCTAAATGTAGTGTGCAAATTGTTGCTACCTGAACTAACGTTGGGAGGTCTATACTGCGATTCAGTTTCAACGCTGAATTTAGAGGGTACTATGACGGAACGGAGGTTGAGCAGAGCGTAGAAGGGTCACAAATAGTAAACACCTTCAGGTTGACTCGAATGACCTGATCGAAGTCCTCCCCGGTGGTGTCGACGACAGCTGTTGCTGGGATGGCTATTCCGGCACAGTTGACGACTACGTTTGGCGGGCGGGCAAAGGTCTTCTGGATGTCTCGGAAGAGCGACTTCACCGATGCGGAGCACCCGACGTCCACCTTAAAGGCATGATGTTGCTGGCTGCCTGGGAAGTGTAAAGAAGGCTTACAAGGAACAAAGCAGCAAAGTCACTCGTTACAAGAAAAATAATATAATTGTCCGTGCAAAGTAAAGGATGCGGCCACCCAGTACTCGTAAGAGCACAATTTAACGAGTCGCAAGAGTTCTTTGCCTGTTTTAGCATTCGAGAATGCTAGGACATATATGCCATCATTCCTTTTGTTGTAATTAATAGTTGTGTTCGCCTTTTAGATTATGTTCGTTAGTTTGTTAGTTTGTTTCAGAACAAGGCTGTCCTTGTTCTAAAGCGAGGGGCAATGGTGTAGAAAACGCACGGTAAAAGTGTCTAATCAAACTTCCTTATCGTTCACTTTTCTTGTGATCTTAGCCGTATTATAATCTTTGTTTTTAATTTAGTCCTACCGGTTAGGCATTGTGAATGGCAGGTCGTTTAAGGTAAAATATGGCTTAACAATTTACTAGCATTTTAAAGTTCCAACGCTACAATAGGGCTAAGAGATGGTTAGTGACGCAGTGTGAAACCGTATTTCGACTGGCCGCGAGTTTCAGTTGGCTAACTTTTGACGATGATATTAAAACTTTTCGGCAACGTGTAACGTACTCGTTACATGTTCAAAACGGCAACGGGTAACGCACATACATTAGTTATTTCGAGTAACAAGTAACGGAGTAACGTTACTCATTACTTTGTTTCTTCCAGGACAAAAACAAAATTACACTTCAATTTTTTTCGCGTTTTTAGGCGCCAAGTTATGTAAATATTTTAGTTTTTCTTGCGTTCTTCCTTGCGTTTTTTCTTAAAAACATGTAGATAAAACCACACACAAAAAAAGATGAAGTAATTATGTTCGGTTTCTGCTCGAATCTAATGGTTCTTGAAATAGGGCGCATTATGCCTATCGGTAACGCCAAAACAGTAAAACATGTTAATTCATAATTTAAAAATTAAGGCGAAAGTAACGTGCGTTACTTTTTATTGATACCCGTAACGGTCACTCGTTAATTTTATTTGCAAATAAAGAATAACGTATTTCTTTGTTTTTTTCCGGGGGGGGGGGGGGGGGGATAACACCCAAAGCACTGCAAACTTAGAAAAACTAGAACTTAAAACATTGTTGTTTTTTGTAGGGCTTCTACCTAGCAGAGATGAGGCAGTGGCGGTCGCGGCGTCCAGATTGAGGTCTGCCACGATGACGTGAGTACCCTCGCTGGCGAGAGCATGGCAGACGCTTTTCCCGATGCCGCTTCCACCTCCAGTCACGAGAGCGAGGCGAGCAGCAGCAGACGAGGTGTTCGTAGAGGCAGACATGGCAGCGGCCGCCGCAACAGGCAAAGTTCGACTAGGAGCACTCGGTGAAGAGCTGCGCCGCCGGGAACGGATGTTGCTCACTGCAGATCGATTTGCCGCAGGAAGGAAACAGGTGTTACAAATTTGTTTCTTTTGGCTACATCGTTCATCGAAATGCAAAATTACGAAGTTAGTTTTGCCGGTAGGTGTTGGAAGCCTTGGCAAGGTACTGGTACAGTCGTAAGCATATGAGAGGCAACAGTCCGTTAGGCTTATCTGGAGCACCTGCCTGCCATTAAGGACGCTTTGATCTAAACTAGGGCTGTAACTCAAAGTTTAGGTTCCAGTCTCTTAACCCTTTGAAAGAAAAAGAAATAATCGGGGTTGTGAAGACTGCAGATAGAGCAAAACGGCGAATTATCACATTTCCTACGGGTGTACCTTCTGTCTTTCGAGCGCAAACACCGATGTACCTTGACCGCAATCCTATGTTCGCGCAGTGATCAACATTTGTTCTGAAATGCGCGTCATATTGTAGGTCCTGCGCATGTTACCCGAGTTCGTCGTTGTTCGGCACGCCCTTTCTGAATGTATTGAACGCGACAGTTGTGTCAGAGTTCGGGGAGAACACGGCTCAGCTCGCATCGAGACCAAGTGCTGCGTCAGTGAACGGCGAGGACTTGTATCAAGTCCCGCGTATCGTGCCCAAGCAAAATAACTAAGGTCAATGTTGTTTGATGCGATTCTAATTTTTGTAAAGGGTCTATTTTGTTACAATATTACGAAGGCAAGTAATATATTTCGCATTCAATAAATTTTGATTTGCTGGCAGAAGTTGCCAGCGCATACACTTGCATTTTATTTGCTCATTAATGTCCCATAAAGTACGTTCGTGAATTTACGTAGGTGCTTATATCATCGTAAAATAGTGCAAAAAGGCTGAAAAAAAGAAAGAAAAAAACACGAATCGAAATAAACGCGGAATGTGACGACAGTGGAATATTACTACTACGGTATATTTGCTAAAGTGGAGAAGCGGGGGAGTTGTTTTATGAGTTATAAAATTAAAAGCGCTATCAATCGGAAACGACAAACGAAAGGTGAACAAAACATTTTCCTATTCTTTCGTTTTTTTTCAGTCTGGTCTATTGTTAGCTCTTTTAATTTTAAAAGGTACATTTGCCTTTTTAGACCAATAATAGAAGAACTCGAAAATTTTGAGTAGAGAGAGTGTTCCGTTTGTGTAACTGTTGCCTCTGGCAATAGAAAAAAAAGAAAAGGAAGGAAAAATAAATGACTGTGTTGGAGAAATTGGCAGCATTAAAAACTTGCCGCGGTGCAGAGACTTTAAGTGTGGGAATAGATCATTTTAATTTCTAGGTTCGATATAGGAGCTATAAGATCCCTAGCCTCCTGAATTGTGCTAAGAACCAACGTTGTACGTAATCCGTTACCAGTAAAAAAATCCATTGTAATTCCTTACAAGTAAGACGACCTCGACAAAGAGAAAGACCCGAATAAAAGGACCAGCTTTAGCGTCGATGAACTGTGCCGCCTCCTTGAGTTATGCCTTAGTATTACGCGGACTTCAGCATTAAAGGAGATTTTTGTACCAAGACCAGCGGAATCGCCATGGGTGCGTCGATTTGGGTCGCAGCATCAAATTTGATGATGTAGGCCATTGAACAAAAAGCGCTGCAGTCATTCGCTAAAAGCTCCAATGCGTTCTTGCGCTACGTCGACGATATTGTCACAAATGACAATGGATGAGACGATTTTAACTGAAGAAACTGAACGCTTAATGGGGCGAACTTGTGTCCAAAACAAAGGTAACCAGAAGATAACAGTAGAGCGCTGCGGCCGTCGATGGCGGCGTAACAGCAGGATCGTACGCTGGGGCGAGACTGACTGCAGATCGCCACGCGGAGCCCATTATGTACGCGTGGGGGCTTCTGGAACAGTCAGCCTAGAAGGTTTGGCGACTGGAACATTCGGAACTCGATCAGACTAGAATGTACTCGAATTCACGAGAACGCAATGTTAAAAGAACAAATAATAGAACATTCCCCTGACTGGAATCGAACCCAGACTTTCCGTGCAACAGTCATGCGCGGTAACCACTCGGCCACGCACGCGGTCGCTTGCCGGCGCGCGTGGCAATATATTATGTACCATAAAAAAAAAAAAAAAAACCTCAAAAGTAGGCAACCTTTTAGCGGATCTAAACACCATCGAGCCGGCCATGCAATTTACCGTGGAACAAATTTTGAAGGGGAATACCTTAGCATTTCTGGTTGTTCTTATGACGAAGCGAGATGGAGACCTCGAATTTACAGTATACAGAAAGCCCATTCACACAGGACGTTCCCTCCGGTTTGACTCAAACCACCCAATGAGACGAGTGTTGGACAAAAAACTCGATAAAAATATTTAAGTTACTAAATAGCTGCTTCATAAAGTATTTAAAATACTAGTCAAGTTACTTTCACTGTAAAGTATGGTGAGTAAAGTACAAATGCTTAGAAATATAATTCAATTACTTTTGAATATACTTCCGCATAGCGTAATTTTTATCGACGTCAGCGATAACGACAATTATACAGCTGCGCAGGTCTGCGTTACCAGAATGTTTTATTAGCACGCAACAACACAAAACAAACAAAAAGAAAAAGAAAAAAAAGTATCATAGGGCTATTTTATGTAGTCCAACTATAAAGAGCAGGATATTATCACGAATGGCAAATGATGAGGCGGCGAATAACTGAAGAAAATAAACGTTTAATGGGGCTAACTTGTGCCCAAAAACAAAATAGAAAAAGGCTAGCGTCGCAGGCGTCCATGTTGGCGAAACAGCAGGATCGAGCGCGGGGGCGAGACTGACTCCGGACCGCCACTCGGATCACCTTTTGTGCCCGTGTCGGTTTCTGGAACATTCGGCGTAAAACGTTCGGCGCGTAGAACATTCGAACCTCGATCAGACGTGAATGTTCACAAAGACGAAAATGTTAAGTTGAAAGAATAAATAAAAGAGGTGTCCGCACCCTGGTATCAAGCCAGGAGCCTTCGCGCGAGAGCCAAGCGCGGCAACCATTCGGCCACGCGCCCGCTCGGCATCACGCGTGGCAATATCACTGATACATGTTACAAAACATTTCTGCAACCGCAAGAAAGAGGTCGCTTTAGCTTTTGGGGAGGAGATCTGACCGTGGTGCCCCAAGCGGTTAGCTTTAGAACTACATGGATGGGTGTAGCCTAGGGTGACCACCTTCCTGCTAGCAAAATGCGGGACACGTGGTGCAGGGGGGGGGGGGGGGGGTGGGGGGGAGTGTAGAAGACATTTGTGAGCACGCGCACTGCGAACCGAGGCTTTGTTGAAACGTTTACTATTTTGTGCTGTTTATCCACCTGCAAACTGTATTGCTGCAATCAAGCTAAAATAATTTTCACTCCCAGTGATGTATTTGTATATGCCAAATGCTATTAAATACGTTGAAGTTGAAAGCACAAAAATAAACTGCAGCAACACTCAATGCATCAGATAAAATTAGGAAACAGTTAGTGTTTTTCGGGTTATTGTTTTCTGTCAACGCTAATTTTTATCAACATGGTCCTACATAAATTTTTAACGTTATGTTCTTTTTTGTTTTGACTTGTGTAACTGTCTTCACTAAAAAAAAAAATTCCACAGCAACCTTTTTGCATTGACAAAGTGATATGAAAATAATTACAATAATTTATATTCAAACTTTTGGTAAACAAATTTTTCTTACGATATTTTGCCACCAAGAGGAGAGGCACAAAGGCACATGCGGGTTGGTTCTACTGCAAGAACGACGATCGCTTCTTGCAATGCTTGGATTGAAAATGGCGTACCACTGCGATTCAAAGTATTACCAGTGACCTTCGTGCTTCCCCGTGCTCCGTTGTTCGGCAGCACCATGAGTTGCAGAGTGACGTTTACGACAGTGTGAAATGCGGGACATTTTGAAGATTTGGCTTTTCTCGCGGGACGCGGGGCACAAGCCCTCAATGCGGGACAGTTCCGCGAGTCGCGGGACGGGTAGTCACCCTAGTGTAGCCCGAAACAAACAATCCCGTTTTGAGCCATTCCCGAAACGACCTTCCCGTTTGAACCCGTCCCGTTTCGACCCATTTCCAAAAAAACCTTCCCGTTTCGACCCGTTCCCGAAACGACCTTCTAATTTGAACCCCTACCCACAACACCCTTTACGTTTGAGCCCGTCCCGTTTGAACCCATTGATATAAAGCTCCGTTCATCTCAACCTCTTCGCGAAAAGTCCCTATCGTTCTAACCCTAGCTTGCGCACCTTTTCTGCTTAAGAATATGTCCCGAAATGATGTTAATGCAAATACAGCAAAGGCGCAGGCGAGCTATTTAGTTATGTTGTGAAATATTTTGGCATGCCAACGTACTCTTGAAATATACAACACTTTCAGACAAGCTTTGACGAAATATATTTCAACTTGAACCACTTAAAATGACTCTTTCAAGATGGCTTCCAAAATGTCTAACTACAAAACGGACTATGTACACTGGGCGACAACGTTACCACGAACACGATGTTGACGAGTTTTAAAATTTTACTTTGAAATAGTATTAGAAGGTACCAATATTACCGCTTAGGTTAGTGGCCCAGATGAGCAGTTTCAACGACACTAATAACATTTACGGCAGTCTTTTGATTCTTTGAGACGAGAAGCGAAAACCAACATTCGCATGTTTGCGCTACCAGTGTCGTGCTCTGCACAATAATGAAGTGTTAGCATAACGTACGCAAGCACTTTCAGTAAGCAAAAATTGGCGTTGTCTTAGGTTTTATTTCGCAACGCTATTTTTAGGTTACCCAAACGCTCGCGTTCGATACTCTAAATCTCTTTGTAGTGAACTGTACATTTTGAAGAGTTATTAATCAGACAGGTTGACGGGCATATGATTGCGACTTTATTTTTTTACGAGTTCAAACACAGAACCCTCGCGCACACAGGGAAAATTCATAAACCACAAAATGCTATTGCCTTCACTCTAAAAAATGTCCGTGCGTCTACTTTCACGCACAACACTCGGAGAGCCAATC